AAACATTAGAGAATAACTGGATCAACAGTTTTCCTATAACATTTCCCAATGTGCTGCAAGTGCATCGAAGGAGCTGATTTAACCATGTTGTTCTGTTGTCTACAGATGTACTGTGACTGAGCAAACACAAACCATAACAAGGTGCTGAAAATTCAGAGGACTTTTCCTTTTCAACTATTTTTTTTATTACTTACTGTTCTGTAGTTTCGTCAGAGGTCGCCAATGCGTCGTAAAAAAAATCCATAATAAACAAACACTCCCATACTACTTCGAGATTTATCACGGAGGCTTTTCTACAACATAGATCAATCACACCACAAGACTATTGAGCAGCATATGAAAGAATTATAGTCCAAAGTTACTACTGGCGTTGATGGAATTATCAAATTTACGTTGAACAATTATTAATAAATCTACTTCAATCATTCCTAACCTATTTACAGCTGGGCTAACCCAATAAATGGCTTACTGCTCTGATACGCTGACTCTGATCTTGTTACGGGAAGGTCACGTGGGCCACCCACGCTGACGTCACCAGGAGTGTTTACCATTTGTACAGAAATTTCGGTGAAAATTTTTCGTCAAATGGTACTGGTATTCTTTTTGGCGAAGAAAACAGGAACGGGATTGAGTTGTACCATTTTCAAAGTACCGGTAAAAAATTTTTCGCTTTCTCTCGACGTGAAGGCTGGCACTAGGTAATCCAAACAAATGGTACACAAAATGTCGGTCGTCTCCATAAAAATGGAAAAAAGGTAATACCTCCAAAGGTATTACTTTTTTTCCAGAAAATTTCCACCGGAATGAACAGTTCCATTTGACTTCTTCCCGGAATTTCCCGGTTTTCCATATAAATGGTAAGCGCTCCTGTTGGTCGATATCAATGTGCCAAACAGAAGCGCATTGGTTCTTGAAACAAAAGATTCTATGGTTTCATTCGTTACAAATCATCCTCCGCGGAGACCCAGGGACGGTCAGTTGGGTCAGGAAAAACGGCGGCGAAAGTTTTCAAGAACGAGCGGGAGCCTTGGGATACTGCTCTTAACGAACCAGATCCACGAATTCTCGTCCTTGATTGGGTACAAAAAAAATTTTTGGTGCCCAATCAGAGGCCAGGATCTAAAGGTATCTCGCTGCTTTCGTGATCTTCTTATACGAAGGAGTTCACCTCCAGCGCTTTCTTGGAGAAGAGCTTTCAGTTTTTCAAGGAAAATGAGCCCCCAAAGTTTAATCTACCAGTTTCATTCGATCCTCTTGCAGCGTTGAGGAGAAAAATTTAACAAATTTACAAATTTTAAGGGGCGAGAAATATTTTCCTGCACGTGCCTGACAAGTTTGCCGAGAAGGCTTACGAAGTCAACTACGTGGAAAATTTCTCATGAACAAGCCTAGAACTGCTCTGGTGTTTACGAATTTACCTTCGATCAGTCCGCAGTCTGATTTCTCTAACTGATGCATATTTCGTTTCCTTTTTGTTTTGCTGACAAGCCAAATTATGGGGTAAGATTTCCGTATCATGAACCCTACATATTTACTTTACATGCATGCATGCAATCTGTTCATATCAACTATTGGAGTAAAATAGTATGAATTGTAATCTATTCCCAGTGGACGCTAGCTCAACAGAGGCCTGGGGACTCAAGAGAAGGCGGTTGGACTAGACCAAGATAAGAGTTAAATTAGGGGTAGGGGGGACAGATTACCCTCCCCGGGGACACCCTCTTGCCCCAGAAGGGGACACCGCAGGAATCCTCTCATCTGGCGCTTGCAGCTAAACTGAACAAATTCCCTTCACTCCCGAGGGAGATGACCAAACACACGCCTGAAAATACAACTCTAGCAAGTAATTGGACAGAAATGAAGGTCCGTGTTGCACGAGCGTCCACAGGGAATACGGCTACGTTTATGAAAAATGTATAAGTTTATAATAAAAATTTACCGGTTATAGAACGTTTTCACTCACGTGGCCAGCATCTATGCAAATTTATTGGAGCAAAAGAAAGTGTTTGTATAAGAAAAGAATTCAACTGCGGGTACACAACGCGCAGCAAACAACGTTCTTTTGCACGGTTCTTTCCTGAAGTGACTTGACCATCCGGGAACTTTAACATATACATAAGTAGTGACCTCACTTGCGCATTAAAAATACAAGGCGTGTCAACGCGAGTCACAAAAAAGAGTTTGCAACATCATCGTCCTTTTTCGACGTAGCTTTCTAAAGGTATACAAAGATCTGTACTATGAATTGCCCCGATCTTATGATTTTAGCATGTTTGTTGGTCGGGTCTCTTCCGAGTGGTGAGTGGTTAAATAATTTAAATGTATTGGGCCCGGGTCAAACACCGTATTTAAGTTCGGTTGATTGTATTTTAACGCCTCGGCCGATCCAAACACAAACAGGTGACCTTAACCGGGTCAAACGCCGAACTTAACAAGAAAGAAACTCAACTTACTTGAGGTACTGCGTTTGAACCGGACCTTTATAATTTGAAGCTCAGCTCGTAGACAAATTCTTTGACTTACTTTATTAACGCCGCTCCATTATGTTATTTACGAGACAGATGTATTATTGTGCGCTGAAAAACTTAATTTTGCAATCGTAGAGCAATTCTCAACAGTTTCTTTATCCATTTCTTTTATCCCTTTTTATCTACCAAAGAAATAACAAAATAAGCGCTATATTTGCATGTTTACGGATCACTGACAGTTTGGTTTGGCGGCAGTGACATGTCAGGAATCATCTCATAGAGAGGCAAATCTCAATGATAGAGCGTAATTTTTTCATTTACTTTGGGCAAGGTGACCACGATTTTCGTGGAGATGTGAAAGCGAGCTTCATTGATGACAGAGTGGTAGATAAAGCACTGGAGGTCGCGTTCAGTCTCGCGTTCTCATTTGCCTTTGCGTTGTCATTTCTTATTGGACACCTTAAACATTCCAGGACGAGAACGACTGAGATGACGAGATTTAACTTAAGGTTTTTTTGCGTCGTCTCAAAAACAAGAAACCACGAAAAGCTTATCAAGTTTTCCCGACAAAATGACCCTGGTTCACGCGCGCTCGTTGCTTACAGTATTGAGAAAATCTCGCAATCGTAATTGTCCCCGTCTTAGAATCTAAAGGCCTCTAATACCAGACAACTTCGAACAAGTTACTTAATTCTACTTGGGTCCCACTAAGTAACGGCCGATCGCCTACTGGAACTGACCCTAGAAAGGGTCAGCTTGCAAGCAAGCGACACTTCGTTTTTTTTATAAGTGTTTAAACATGATCGCGAAATTTTTTCTAATCATTTAGAAATTTGATAATACTACCATCCTTTTCCCCTTCCAACCATAAAATGATATGCATTCCAGAACACCTTGAGCCTTTAAGATAAACTTTAGAGACTTATACGGATATTACACTTTAAATAGCTATTTAGCCAACATTCCTAACCCGAGACGTAATTGGGATAAAAGAACAAGAACGCATGATAGGTGTAGCTCTCCAGAAACCTAGGCAATGTAAAAGTGGCAAGCGCAACATCAAGAAGTTGTTAGTTGTATAAAGTATTTTTGGTTTGTAATCGTCTCATTGACGGGAGTTAAAGATTAATATTAGTAGTAGTTTTGTATACGCGCTAAACACGGTTGTTACATTTCGCTATATGCTGCATTTTGCGTTTATTGTTATATTTTTGTGACGTTTTAAATAGAAAAAATGAGCAAAAATTGATTGAAATGATTTTTTCCAGTATTTAAATTTAAATTTAGTCGTTAATTAAGCATTAACCGCCAAAGAAGCCAAAATTTAAAAAATAAAAGCACCCTTGCCGAACTCACCGAATGTCCAGAAGGGTAAGCCTGTTTTCCCGCGAATACTAAATCTCTCTACAGTGAATTGTGATTTTAAATTTGCTTTGAAAGTAAAACTCACCTAGGATGGCTTCGACCGATTTCGGATTTTTCTTAAAATAACGCAGCATCTCCCTCAAAGAGTCTCTTATTGATTGTGCCAGTATCTCTCCCTGTTTGTCAAGAGATTTCCTTTTTTGCATCTCTTCAGGAAAACCAATTTTGTTTCCCGCGCAGACTTGAAATCCCGATTCATTCGTATCACATGACTGACTCTCCTCAGTGCGTCTGAAAACATCAGACTGTGTTTCCTTTTCTAAAAGCCTGTTCTGCTCACAGATGATTTCCTTGAATGCATTTTGCAATCGCAAGTGCTTTTCCATGTGATTCACCAGCTCTTGTCCCAAAACAACAGAAAAACGAGGCAAGGAATCCAGGACATATGGCAATGCCGTTGTTATCTCCATCCGCTTCACTGCTTCTTGGAAAACGGTCATAATTCGCTCCGCGTGGAGCGATGGCAAGCTTTTTCGTTTAGGGTCAAGGATTTTGCAAGGGTCAAAACCGGGTTTTCGAACGTAAGGCGGCTGAGGTGAGTTTTTGCCGCCTTTGGGCCAAATATCGGAAAAGCGCGGACTTTCTATTGGAGCCATTTGTAAATCCGTTTTTTTTTTACTGTTACTGACGCAACAATAAGTTGTAGTTCGCGACGCATAAATGACGTCACCTTTAGTAAGCGCGTGCGCGCTCACTGCCAATAGGCTAATTTAGCAACAGAACAGGAACGTCAGTTTACGACGGCGCGCGCAAATCAAATAACTGGCTTGACCAATGGCAGAGCGGCAAATTGAGCATTGGAAGTCGTGTTCAGTCCTTTCCGCGCGCTTTCCCGTCGTCAACTGACGTTCCTGTCCTGTTGCTAAATCAGCCTACAAATGCAGGCTGTTCGCGAGCTGTTCGCTGGTAAGCTTCCACCTAAGAGTAAGATCAATGAATTTATAATATAACTGGAAATTCTATATCAGAAATTAAGGAAATGCTAACAAAGGGAACATAAGTATTGGAAGGACAACTTAAATAAGAAACCTAAGAAAACGTCGATGAAGATGTATACATAAACGCTATGTCAACTGTCAGTATAAGATCGTTAAAACAACTTAGAGAAACTTGCGATATAAGATGATTTAAGGTCGATTCAATAACTTGTGGCATACACTTATAACCATCCCACTCAGCCTCTTAGAATGTTTTGCTAGAATAATAACGATGATGATGCTCCTGATGCTGATGTTAACGCTGATGATGAAAAATGACGCAAAACCTCAAACCTCTTTTTATATTCATGCTTCAGACCTTAACATGTTTAATTATGTGAACATAGTTTCATTGTTTTGTTCGTTTCAGTACGTTATCTTCATCACAGTGAAGAAACATTAGAGAATAACTGGATCAACAGTTTTCCTATAACAGTTCCCAAATTTAGTATGTGCTGCAAGTGCATCGAAGGAGTTGATTTAACCATGTTGTTCTGTTGTCTACAGCTGTACTGTGACTGAGCAAACACAAACCATAACAAGGTGCTGAAAATTCAGAGGACTTTTCCTTTTTAACTAATTTTTTTATTACTTACTGTTCTGTAGTTTCGTCAGAGGTCGCCAATGCGTCGTAAAACAATCCATAATAAACAAACACTCTCAAACTACTTCGAGATTTGTCACGGAGGCTTTTCTACAACGTAGATCAATCACACCACAAGGATATTGAGCAGCATATGAAAGAATTATAGTCCAAAGTTACTACTGGCGTTGATGGAATTATCAAATTTACGTTGAACAATTATTAATAAATCTACTTCAATCATCCCTGATGCTCAGTTCGGCTTAACCCTTCACCTGACCCTAAACTCTAACCTATTTACAGCTGGGCTAACCCAATAAATGGCTTACTGCTCTGATACGCTGACTCTGATCTTGTTACGGGAAGGTCACGTGGGCCACCCACGCTGACGTCACCTGAGTGTTTACCATTTGTACAGAAATTTTGGTGCAAAATTTTCGTCAAATGGTACTGGTATATTTTTTTGGCAACGAAAACAGGAACGGGATTAAGTTGTACCATTTTCAAAGTACCGGTAAATTTTTGCTTTCTCTCAACATGAAGCCTGGCACTAGGTAATCCAAACAAACGGTACAGAAAATTTCGGTCGTTTCCGTAAAAATGGGAAAAAGGTAATACCTCGAAAGGTATTACTTTTTTTCCCGGAAAATTTCCGCCGGAATGAACAGATCCATTTGACTTCTTTTCCCGAAATTTCCGGGTTTTCCATATAAATAGTAAGCGCTTCTGTTGATCGATATCAATGTGCCAACCAGAAGCGCATTGGTTCTGGAAACAAAAGATTCTATGGTTTCATTCGTTACAAATCATCCTCCGCGGAGACCCAGGAACGGTCAGTTGGGTCAGGAAAAACGGCGGCGAAAGTTTTCAAGAAAGGGCAGGAGAGGCCCTGGGATACTGCTCTTAACGAACCAGATCCACGAATTCTTGTCCTTGATTGGGTACAAAAAATATTTTTGCGCCCAATCAGAGGCCAGGATCTAAATGTATCTCGCTGCTTTCGTGATCTTCTTATTCGAAGGAGTTCACCTGCAGCGCTTTCTTGGAGAAGAGCTTTCAGTTTTTCAAGGAAAATGAGCCCCAAAGTTTAATCTACCAGTTTCATTTGATCCTCTTGCAGCATTGAGGAGAAAAATTTAACAAATTTACAAATTTTAAGGGGCGAGAAATATTTTCCTGCACGTGCCTGACAAGTATGCCGAGCAGGCACGTGAAGTCAACGACGTAGACGATTTCTCATGGACCTTGAGAGTGGGCGCTTATTCGAGGCGGGCGCTTATTCGAGGCTGGGCGCTTATTAGCTCTTATTAAATTTTCACCATTTTCAGCGAGTGAAGTATGTTTATTTTGCAACAAAACAATAAATGCTAATAACAAAACGCGAAGAAGTAACAAAGTAAGGTTTCTGTAAAATGCTCTGAAGAAAACTCTGTCCTCGGGGAAGTCTCTTATTAGAATTTATTCACTCAAATAGATGGGGTGGGGGAGAGCACTTATTTGAGTTTGATTGGGAAGAGGAGGGGGTGGGCGCTTATTAGAGGCTGGGCGCTTATTAACTTTTTCTGCCTTTAGGATGGGCGCTTATTCGAGGTGGGCGATAATTCGAGGTTGGGCGCTTATTCGAATAAATACGGTACTCTGGAGTTTATGAATTTACCTTCGATCAGTCCGCAGTCTGGTTTCTCTAACTGATGCATATTTCGTTCCTTTTTGTTTTGCTGACAAGCCAAATTATGGGGTAGGATTTCCGTATCATGAACCCCATATATTTATTTTACATGCATGTATGCAATCTATTCATATTAACTACTGGTGTAAAATAATATGAAATTGTAATCTATACCCAGCCGGGACGCTAGCTCAACAAATTAAAGGCCCGGGGACTCAAGAGAAGGTGGTTGGACTAGGCCAAGATAAAATTGGGGGGGGGGGAACAGATGACCCTCCCAGGGGACACCCCCTCCCCCAGAAGGGGACACCGCAGGAATCCTCTCATCTGGCACTTGCAGCTATCGTGAACAAATTCCCTTCACTCCCGAGGGAGATGACCAACACACGCCTGAAAATACAACTCTAGCAAGTAATTGGACAGAAATGAAGGCCCGTGTTGCACGACCGTCCACTGGGAATACGGCTGCGTTTATGATAAATGTATAAGGGCCTGTTTACATGGAGTGGGGGACCCCGGTCTAGTGGGGTTGGTTTCTTTTGTTATCACGCTCTGGGGGACACAAAACAAAAGAAACCTACCCCACTAAACCGAGGTCCCCCACTCCATGTAAACAGGGTCTAAGTTTATAAGAAACATTTACCAGTTATAGAACGTTTTCACTCACGTGGCCAGCATCTATGCAAATTTATTGGAGCAAAAGAAATCGTTTGCATAAGAAAAGAATTCAACTCCGGGTACACAACGAGCAGCAAACAACGTTCTTTCTGAAGTGACTCGATCATCCGGGAACTCTAACACATACATAAGTAGTGACCTCACTTGTGTAATAAAAATACAAGGCGTGTCAACGCAAGTCACACAAAAGAGTTTGCAACATCATCGTCCTTTTTCGACGTAGCTTTCTAAAGGAATACCAAGATCTGTACTATGAATTGCCCCGATCTTATGATTGTAGCATGTTTGTTGGTCGGGTCTCTTCCGAGTGGTGAGTGGTTAAATAATTTAAATGTATTGGGCCCGGGTCAAACACCGTATTTAAGTTCGGTTGATTGTATTTTAACGCCTCGGCCGATCCAAACACAAACAGGTGACCTTAACCGGGTCAAACGCCGAACTTAACAAGTCGATAACAAGAAAGAAACTCAACTTATTTGAAGTACGGCGTTTGAAGTGGACGTTAATTTGAAACTCAGCTCGTAGACAAATTCTTTGACTTACAAGCCTTAAAGCCGCTTCATTATGTTATTTACAAGACAGATGTATTATTGTGCGCTAAAAAACTTAATTTTGCAATCGTAGAGCAATTCTCAACAGTTTCTTTATCCATTTCTTTTATCCCTTTTTATCTACCAAAGAAATAACAAAATAAGCGCTATATTTGCATTTTTACGGATCACTGACAGTTTGGTTTGGCGGCAGTGACATGTCAGGAATCGTCTCATAGAGAGGCAAATCTCAATGATAGAGCGTAATTTTTTGCGCCAAATACTCGCATGTTGACTATGGGGAATACCAATTGTCTTTCTTTTCGTACTTTTGCGTTAATCACGGTGTTTGCGAGACTCGACTTTGCTCTCTGTTAAAAATTCAAAACGTTCTCATTGTTGTTAATTTTTTGAATACCATATGCGCCTTTATGCTTGCTTACAGCTTCATCTTGCACGCTCAGAGCATTTTTATTGAAACTCTAAATTTGTAGGGAACAAGAAATGTTATAATTCATGTGTTCAGAATATCAGTCAGCGACAAATCGACAGGTGGATATTGTTTTTAAAACTCTCAAATGTTATCCCGCTTTACTCACGCAAGACCACCCAGAGTCAGTCAATACTGAGGCGGTAGGGAGAGGTGAGCTATGTGATTTCAGAAAACGATCTTGCAAGAAAATATCTCGGGGGAAAATTCCTTCACTGATAGTGAGGCAGGAAAAAATCCCACCGAGAACTATAGGTCATTACGCCATTGCATTGAAACTAGTGTGTTCGCTCGGTTACATCAGTGTTCGTTGTAATTGAAAATAAACTTGGAGCCCCGGGTTAAACCAGAATTTGCCTTTAGTTACTTCTTGCGCCCAGTTTAGCCATGGGTTAGAAGACAGGGTATTCCTAAAAAAAAATAGTTTGTTCTTGGTGGTGATGGAGTGCTTTCATACTAATACAATGAAATTGTAAATTCTATTGAAGCCTGGTTTAACCTCCAATACAGGATACAGTCATGCATGATCAAACCTCAATTTACGGACACCCACTTAATACGGACAGCTCGTTATTACGAGGCAGTTTGCCTTGTCCACGGGAAAAGAAAGCTCTTACATTTCTCTAAATTCAACCCGCTTCACAGGCACCCCGTTAATACGGGTACTTTCTATGACCCCTTAGATGTCAGCATTAACGGGGTGTGTGACTTTACTTTAAGAGTATTTTACCTACAACATAATTACTATAAAACAAAACTGAATGTATTGGCACTACGGCAAAGGGATGGTGTATTATAGGCCAATATTTCGGCTAACAAAGTTAGCCTTCCTCAGGGCCAGAGCTATACAGAGAGAAGATATCTTTTACTTGTTGCGTGGATCTCTGCATTCAAACAGTTTTTCCTAATTGCTGTAGGTAGCTATATCATAATGCTGCATGGTTGTCAAAGCATTAAGGTTGTATGTCTAGCTTAAAGCATTTTGCCTTATCTTGGAGGAAACGTTTTACATACAGTGCTTCTTGTTAACTGTAAGACCAGACCACCTGCCATTTTTATTTACAACATAAGCAAAAACAAACCAGGAGAGATACTAGCCTTTTTAAAATTAAAAAGGAGACCAGTAGGAACTGCATAGTATTCACTACGCTATCAACAAGCAATGTACAGTTAAGAAGTAAATAGCTGTTTTGTTTTTCACTTTCAGAATTTGAAATTAGTAAATAGTCAAATGCATAAACCTTTCAATAAATGTCTTTTAAATTTTACGATAAAATGTTATGTGACTGTTATACTACGAAAGCCTAGAAGGGTCTTCCGACTTCCGACTGCCGACTTCTAACTTCTGCCTTCCAACTTCCGACTTCCGTAGCAACAAAAGGCGGTGGTAGGCCTACGCGACTTTTACCTTACGCCAAAATGTTGCTTGTTTCAATAACGTTTTTTCTTTCTGCTGGGTAGATTATGCTATGGAAGGTTCTACATTTTTTACTGAGCAAATGTGATTTTAGCCGCTCGTTTCACAGACAGTGGTTTTTGTTTCTGGTCGGCAAGATTTGCCCCCTGATGAAAGAGCATTTCTTTGACCGTGTTTAAAGCGTAAGACTTTTTATTACGGCTGAGTAAGAGCTCTAATTTTTCTCCAAAGCGGCCTTCTGGACCTGAATAACAAAGCGATTTTCTTTAGTCGGTGAATCTGCTATGTTTTATCACGCTGGGCCCAGCTCGTTAGTTTTCTTTGCAGGATGTTAAATTATCACGGATAGTGATTTACAGATCCAAAGTTATAAGAATGAAGTGAAGCTTAAAATGAAGCTGCATCAACTATGGAGAATTGCATTGTGACGCAGTATATTCCAGCTTAGTGTTTTTCTATTCTTTTGACTGGAGCGGGTATTTCCTTCCCTGGTAATAGTTTTTTGAATAAGCAGTTGAATAAGTGATCAGGCAAGACCATGGTTTCGGTTCTCCAAGCGAACCTCTCATCGGTTGCCGGGTTGGCTTTGTGCTTAGTTGCTTTTTCAAGAGCAAGTTTAGTTGTTCTCTTTTGTGGCGAGAACGGTACAGCCGTCCTCTCCACTGAGCTTTGAATTTGGGCATTAATACCCGCGAACTGAGAGTCAAGTCAGAAGTCGGAAGTTAGAACTCAGAAGTGGGAAATCGGAAGTTGGAAGTCAGAAGTCGGAAGTCGGAAGTCGGAAGTCGGAAGTCGGAAGTCGGAAGTCGGAAGTCGGAAGTCGGAAGTCGGAAGTCGGAAGTCGGAAGTGGAAAGTGGAAAGTGGGAGGTCCGAAGGTCTAGCCATTCAGCTTTGAGTCTGAACGGTCAGAGATCAGAAATCCGGAGTTCGCACTTTGTCAAGTCTGAAGTCTGAAGTTTGAAGTATGAAGTCTGAAGTTCAAAGCCGGAAGTCAGAAGTCGGAAGTCTGAAGTTGGAAGTCCGAAGTCAGAAGTCGGAAGACCCTTCTCGGCTTTCGTAGTTATACATGATAGTCTTGATTCCTGCGATCTTATCTTGAAACATTTATAGGTCATCGTGACGTGTATGTAACATAAGGTTACCATGGCAACCTAGTTTTGACAGCCAGGGTCCAATTGTACGAACGCCGGTTAGCGCTAGCCCGTAGTAAAATTTTAACCCGGGTTTCTTTTTCTTTTTATCAAAAGCACTCTTTCGGATAATTTTCTCTATTCTTTTTAGAGTATCCTGTCATCGAATTGTAGGCAAAGAGAATTAAACTGAATCTGCTTTTTAAGCTCTCATGTCTTACTTCAAATCTCGCACTAACCCTGGGTTATCTTACCCCAACATCGAACAAGCCGAGCCAGGTTTTCAAAATTTGCATTTTTTCTCCAAAGTTACTATTATCACATTTATTATAGCTGTTAATATAGGCTTAATATAAAAAAAAAAAACACGATAAATTTCAAATGACCAAATAGCTGATGCTATAGGATCAATTATCAACAGTGTTCATTGTTTTGCTTTCAAAGCATCCTTTTATACACAGATTGCGTAAATTTATACGGGTTTTAAGTAAAATGGAATACATTTAACTAATGGCACCTTACTACTCAAAATTTTTTTGCTTTATGGCTACTTGAAGGGGAAAATTGATGAAATTTAGATACTGCCAATAAATTTAGCAATCAGACATCATAATGACGTCAAATTACGTCATTATGTCAATCAAGTTATTGTTAGATGTTGGATTCTGTGTAACAATGAGCGGTTTCAATGAAGTTATCAGTGAAGGTATAGAGGGGCAGCCTCCAACCCTCCCCCACCCCCGGTCGCAAGAAGCACAAGAAAACCCTATTTGAATAGGGTTTAATATTGATTCCATCCAACACATTCAAATTTCAAGGTAAGCCTAGTCTATGAACCGGCCCAAAAATATGCGTCACAATTTAATCTAACGTTTTGACGTTACTTCTGCATGAAAATTCGGGTATAGCGATCGGACAAGAAAAAGGTATTGTCCCGGAAAAAATGTACCGAAACACCTTATAAACATAAACCTTTACGAATCCTTAAAGAATTCTTAGTGTACAATTTAATCACTGATTTTGAATTAAAGCTTCTTTCAAAAAATGTTTTGCATTAAAACTGGGTAGACTTAGTTCAGTTTCTTTACAACTAGAAGCCCTAACAGTTAGGGAATGCTAAAATGGCAACCCGGTCTTTCAGTTTCCAGAACGTTGTTAGATGCGAGTCATAAATCCCACACCTCCAGAATGACTTTCGCTTTCGAATTTCAATTTTCGAATTTTCGCTTTCACTGAATTGACAATTTTTTCCTTTGCCTTTTCTCTCAGTTTTAGGAATTATGTGCAAAAAGTGCACCCCTTCAGCTAGTCCCGTAGTACTCTGCAACGATCCTTCACAGATAACCGAGGTAAACTGTGACGACGAGGCTGCTCTCGCTCCAGATGTAACATTCGACGCTTGCACTTCAGGAAAGGTAGTGGCCAGCGCAGGCACTACATTTGTCTATGAATGTACGGTCAAGGTAAGTTGAAAAGAATAATAAGGTCACGTTTTGCAAAGCGTCCACCTCTGACTGTTAACACCGAGTACCCATCTAAGGTGTTAATCCAACCTGGAGTACGAACCCCTCAACCTCTCGCTGTGCAAACTCGATTTGCAATGGAAATTGAATATACCCTGGGAATTATTCGAATAAAAGACCTTTTTACCGATCTTTCCGCGGCAATGTTGAATAAGTTTGATTTAAGGAGTATTATAGAATGCCCAGGGGGCATGAGCACAGTACGTTTAGTATTTACGAGCGCCTTTCGGGGCATTTAGAATAAGATTGTCATGGGAAAAAATATCGTTGTTCCGTGTTTGAATGTAATAATGATCGCCTTTTCCCCGAGAAATATACAGTGAAAGATCAATTTCTAATATTAAGCGAGGACAGCAGATCGTGCTCTTTCCCCCTGGCCATCCCATAATACTCCGTAAATCGAATTAATTCAATATAGCCGCCTTACCGGCAAAGAGGTCTATCAAAACTATGGAAGAGATTACACGAATTTGCACGTGCTTGCTTCTTCATCAACGCTCAAAACCCGTGGCTGCGAAAGTAAAAAGCCTACTAGCAACCTACCCTCCCACCTGACATGCCCAAGGTTTGATGTTGCCCGGCCGTTCCTTTTACTTGCATTGTCCGAGGCCAGAGCCATTCCTCGTACCTCATCACCATGTCATGAATAACAATACCCAGAGGAGAATACCACAACAAAATACAGTAATCCTACCTCTAAAGAACCCTTCAATCCCACTACTTGGCACTATATAGACCAAGTAATTTGACCTGTTATTTCACTAACATTGTTCAAAATAATAGCTCAAGATTTACACACCCTAAGTTTTTTTTTTCTTAAAATAAGTGCAAGTGTTTGGAACCTATGACCTCCCAAACAATGGGAGTTTACTGGGAGGGCGCTCTACCCATTGGGCCACGGAGGAAAGACACCCTGAGGACAGTTGTAGAAGCCTAAATGTAATAAACGACCCTAAATGTAATAAAGTCCTAAATGTAAGAACATTTTGTCCTAAATGTAATAACATTTTGTTCTAAATGTAATAACATTTTGTCCTAAATGTAATAAACTCTTAAGTTGCAAATTACAGTAATTGCTCAAATAAGCGCCGCATTTGGGGGAGGTGGAATTTAATATTTAAGCGCTCTAGCACTTATTCGCGTAAATACGGTGCTAAGAGGTATTACTATGGTTTTAAGCGCCGCCCTCAAATAAGCACCGCATTTTTGGAGAAAAAATTTAATAAGCTTCGGTACATTTCCTTATACACTTTCCTTATAAATTGCTTGTAAAAGGACAAAATATAAAAAAAACTTGTAAGCCTTAAAAAGTTTTTTATACTTCATTTCTGTTAAAGAAATTTACTGCGAAAACCGTGAACGAAGATTCTGTTGCTTGTCAACGTTGGATCTCTAGAAAAGAGATCTAATCAGCCAAAAATATTAAGAACAATAAACGAGAAGTCTAAGGGCCTGTTTACATGGAGGTGGTAGGTGAGGTAACCCGCTTTGGTCGGTAACCCGCCTGTCCACATAATCTCTCATTTTAATTTGATCACGTTTACATGATAGGTGGGGTGACCCGCTGCATGTTACCTCACCTACCTGGCCGTACCCCACCTCCATGTAAACAGGCCCTAAAGACTACTGCACAGCTGATAACAACGCGCGCTCTGATTGGCCGAGAGATGTGTTTGCATGACAGTATGTAAACATGTTTTGCTCTTCACGCGGTAATCACGCAAGCGCGAATTTTAAAATGTTTTTGAGTTGAAAACTCGACAAATTTAATTTATTTACCCATTCCCTCGTCGGATGAAACTTGGAAAATCTTTACAAACATGTTGTGCTAATTTTTTCTTTCGCTTAAGCTGACATTTTAAGCGAGAAAAACCCTTTTTTGGAAAGCACCTTTATCAACCTCGTCCCCAGGGCGCTTTTCCCTAACCAAAGCCAAGAAAAAGCACCCTGGGGACGAGGTTGCATCTTTATTGCCAAACAAGAACTTATTACACGTACATTAGCGTACAAGACTTCGCGACTGGTAAGAATTTCTCTTTTAATCAGTAACCTAAACAAAGAGTTTTTCTTTTTTTTTTCGATAAAGTTATTTCATAAAACCATTAGAAA